AAGATATAATTTTAGTAAAAATTGAAAATTTTGACTTTTTTGATTTTAAGTAGTAAATATTGAAAAATGCCTTCCAGTGTTTTTGGCATTCTTCTCAAGTACTTTGGTGTGTGGTTTGAACTGTGCTGCACAGCTGTTGTGCAATAAAGTGATGGTCTGCCAAAAACTGATCAGTAGTTGCAATAAGCGCAACTATGCTACTTTTTTATTATGTTATTATTTTTTACATTGTTTCTATTTTTAAATCTCTAATCTGATAATTTCTGGATTTGTTTAGCTTCCTTTTCTCTGAAAATGTTATTAATAAATTACATTTTTGTATTCTTCTATATGCAAGAATGCCATGAGTTTTATTTATTTGTTTGTATGAAATCTTCCCCTGGGTTGATTATCTGGATCATTACAGAAGAGAATTAAGGCCACAACAAAAGGGAACCAAAATTAAAACTGAGTAAATCTGACTTTAATCTCAGAATTTTTATTCTAATTTTAGAATTTTTTATTTTGAAAGTCAGAATTACCTGAATCAGAATTTTCTGAGATTTTAAGTCAGAATTCCCATATATATATATATATATATATATATATATATATATATATATATATATATATATATATATAATATATATATATATATTTCAAGATCAAAGTTGGAATTCTGAGATTTAAATTCTAAAAAAAAAAATTCAAAAGATTCCTGACTTTAATCTCAGAATTGCAACTGTTTTCTAATTATTCTGACTCTTATTTTTGGAATTGAAAATTCTGAAACTGAAACTTTAAGAATTCACACAACACACCAAATTTCAAGATTAAAGTGTGATTTCTGTGACAAAAAGTAAATATTATGTGAATAAAATCCAAACTTCAGAAACATAAGTATTCTGAGATTATTATTTCACTTTTTGGATCATACACCAGCCTGTTATAGTAAATAAAAAGCATAGCTGCCTTCTGCACAGGTCTTTACGGGGTGTGACAGAAGAGGAGAGAAGACATCCACTGCTCGGTCTACTTTAGAGAAGTAAATACTTTGTGCTTATAAGGAGATATTTTGTCTCACCAGTGTGAGAAGATGGAAAAACTTTGGACTTTTACTGGGTGAAGTTAGTTTTATAGGTAGAATATAAGCTTTTAGATTTCTGTTTGATTCAGCAGACTGCTCTGTTAAAGGAATTAACATCTGTGACTTTATAACAAAGGTTTTTGCTATATAACATTAACATCATTAACCTCAACAAATAGGCTAACAGATCCATAATGTTGACAAGTGGCCTTGTGTTAGAAATGAGCTTCAATAAATATCCACACTCTGCTTATTCAATCCTCCAGTAACCATGTGAGGTTATTTATTTTGTATACAATAAATACATGCAGACAAGGGTGTATGGTGTATGGGTCCCTGCCACCCTTTTTTATTGTGCAATTTTGCCAGGCAGATATATGGAAATGAAAGAAATAGAAATAATTACTATGTCTATTTAACATTTGTGCTGTGTTTTCATTATCTGTAGTGCATATTTTAAAGCCAGCAAAAACACATAGTAGGAAATGGAAGGTATCTTTACAAATTAAAAAAAATACTTCCCATAAAGCAGCAGCATAAATCAGTATTTGCCTATCTCTTCTGATAACACACAAACAATTATTACTCATCCCCTTTTCATGCAAATTTAACTATATTCGACATCAGGGATTTTCCACCCAATGAGCTGGTGCTCATGGGAAATGCTGTCTTCCTTCAGGTAAAATAATACAGCTTTTGTCCAGTGTGGGGAGCCATTATCACCCAAAACTAAAAGTTGTTTTGAACTGCTTTAAGTCCATCCTGAGATTTCAGTTCAAGCAACTGTTAAAGCAATAAATTTGACATTTTAACGCTGGTGGTGGTTCATGTTAAGCGTTAGATTTGGTCCTGCTTTCTCCTATGTCTGAAAGTAGCTGGGTTTTATTATCCTAGGCAGCACTTCTCTTGCTGTACTGCACCTGCAGCTTCCTGATCACATAAAGCATAAATAGGTCTATATCTTGACTGTTTACAGGCACGTAAACTCAAAAATCTCTTCTCAAATATAACTTAATGCTTTTAAACCAACATTTTTGCCTAAAAAATAGCTGAGAGAAAATAACTTTTTTGTTATAGGTTTGAAAGCAGAGTGTGCTATTTTTACTGTCTGGAAATGATTTCACAAATGAAAAATGTATCAGATTCAGTGCTCAAAATGTAGAGGGGCACTTTATATTTTATTCATTCACCACTGAGGGAATTTAACACTTTAATGTTATGGAATTCCATTACAGCTCCTTAAGAAACGTACACATCACACAAAACAGTGTATGAACTGCAATAATTTATTTATCTAAGTTATAAAAGAGGTTGGCTGCCTGAAAAAAAAAAACAAAAAACATACACTTCACATTTGAATAAACAATGTCTAAAATAATGTTTATTCTATTGTGTCCATTAATGTTGTAGCACTCTCACTTTGGACACTATCCAAACATTCACACAGCCACAGAGTTAACATTGATAACTCTCACATCTTTGTGCATTCAGCTTGAAATAAAGAGATAACTAAGCTATTTAGGCACAGGTACTGATATTAAACATGTGTGGTGAGGATATCTTCTCCTTTTTTCATGATTGCCACCTACCGCTGAGCAACAAAGTGAAGGTGCAATATCCCCACTCACTGTCAAGCCCTTTAAAGGCACTGAGTGGGTTTTAATAAGAGGCAGAGTGGTTAGTGGTGCACACCATGGTCTTCAATGGGATTAAAAGCCTTTGAATGGTCTAGGCCAGTAAAGTCTAGAAGTCCTGCAGCGCGTTATGAGCATGTTTATCACAAGGATTAGCAAACACAGCAAAAGCAATCACCCTAGGAGCACAGGCACCTCTACTTGTTCTATTATCTGACTTGCTGAGCAGCTGATGATAAGAGTGATTCGGCAGCCCTGAAAGGTAAAGCTTTGGTCCCAACTGTAAGCTCTACACCTGCAACATCTAGGAATTGTGATTTTTTTTTAAGATTTGCCAAACCAGTAGGGTGCTTGAGATGAAAATGAAATCTTGTTTTTAAGAACGGGTGATGCCTTTCAAAAGTATCTATACCCATTTTTTGCAAACTTTGTCTTCTTTACTACTATATTAGGTAATCTACGTAATATAAGTTGTAGATAATTATGTATATGTAATAAATTGTAATGGTTGCATACATCTTGGGGTTCTTTTTCATCTACCATTTCCTAACAGTGCATGCAGCCGTTAGCTTGGGAGGATCTATCAGATGGGTTCCAAATATTGTTTAGACCCTAACTCATAACCCTCTCTTATTGGTGGGCCAGTAGTTTTAAGTAGCCATTACATTCACCCTTACTGAAAGCTAGCTAATTTCTTTTCCGTCTCCTCTGTCTTTCTTCTGACCATTATTTTCATCTCACTTTCCATCATCTCCACTGCTGTTGATGGCTTCCAGGCCTGAACAGGGGAGCTTCCTTCCTTTGTTTCTGCAGTCCTGAATCAGTCCTTCGTAGCACTCAGTTTTCCTCCTTAAATGCATTTCTTAAAATAATGCAAGTCTCTCTGCAGTGATCATCCCTGCTTATGTTGATAGAAGAGCTGCATCAGCCTCAGGGTAGTATGGATGATGTCTGAGAACTGGAACCTCCTCTTCAGGTCAACTCTTAGCTTCCGTTTTTAAGTAGCCTGCAGAAAAAAAGACTGATGTTGTTGATTCTAACTTCCCTTGTTCCATCCCTCAAGAGGTTTACTAAGAAACATTAGTTTAACATCATGAAGAATAAGGAAGAGATTTCAGTGATATGATTTTGGAGCTGAATAAAGAGTGAGGTTATCAAAAACGATCTACCAAATAAATCTACCATAAGGCAAGAAGTATTCTACAGTAGCACTGTTAAATCAATCAGAAAATGGAAACTATAGGACACAACTGCAAAGGGTGATGGTAATTTGGGGGGATTTAGAAAGTAAAATGAGATTAAATATTCCAGAAGGTTTCACACAAAGTAGAAAAAAAAGTGAAAAGAAATAGTTAAATCTAGATCTCTTTGCCACATGAATGACAAATATGTCACTTAATAAGTCTTACATATTAGTCAGTTTAGATGATAATTGATTAGTGTTTGTTTTGTCTATCTGAAATAAGGACCAGGGGGAAAAAAGCCAAATTTAAGTCGTAAACATAACCATATTCCATGGTAAACTTTAACCTTTATAAAGAGATCAGTGCTACCACCTATCTCCTTTATCTTGGTTGTGAGAGAGAGGCTGATCCTTTCCCTCTGTCTACGTGACCCAGAATGCTCTACACCTCTGGTTCAGTGAAATTATAGAACTTTGATTTATTTTGATTTGATATTGTTGAGGTTCTTTTCACAATACGTATGGTTAATGGTTTTCAGCTTTACCCTTATTTAGACCCTTGGTTGAGTGAGTTCCTACATTTACCTGGAGGAGCTGTAAAATTCAACAGTTGGTGGGAGAATTTGGTATGAGGAGAAATATCGCGGCACTGTACAGTACAGTTTTTCACAAGCCAAGTCAAACTCAAACATAAATCATACTTAAAGTAAGAAATGCTCTCATTCTAGTCGACTGATTGTCACTTATTTGCAAAAATTATGGGTAGAAATGTTCCTCTACGTGTGCAAAGATGATGGAGACATACAGCAAAAGATCTTTGCAATAGCATTAAAAGTTGGTTCTACAAATTATTGATCTGGAGAAGTGTTTCAAATTATAGATAATATTTCTTATATGTTTTTATGAAGAGAATTTAAGCAATCATTCATTAAGATATACTACTTTGTTTCTCAAAATCGCAAATGAAATACATTGATATTTGTGGCAGTAATATGACAAACATGGACAGGATAAAGATATTTTTTATTTTTTTATGTTAGCCATCTTCCCTAACACTGATGTCGAGCCATTTGACTTGTGGTTCTAACTAATTTCCTGCTGTTTGTACTTTTTAAAGATCTTCCACATGACCTATGACCTGGCCAGCGCCATGGTGAGAATAGTCAACCTCATCGGTATGATGCTTTTGCTGTGCCACTGGGATGGCTGCCTGCAGTTCCTGGTGCCCATGCTGCAGGACTTTCCAGCTGACTGCTGGGTCTCCAAAAATAAGATGGTGGTAAGTGCTCTTCTTGGACAGTATTGTATGCCCTGTGTAAATCAGATTACACTTATGTCTTATCTTATCCATCACCTCCAGTAATTACTGTATTAAAACCCCTTTAGCTTCCTGTGAAAGACTGTAATGCATATCTGTCATATTAAAGGCCAAATGAAATAGCTGTATCTGCTGCACTGGTAGACTTTTATTCAATTTGGTGATGACTAATTTTTAAGCAGTTCTACTACACAGTGTAAAAAGGTGTCTTTTTTAACATAAGTGTTACCAGATAATGCTTATGTTTGTACCTGCCCTTCATTTTTTTTAATTAAAAAAAATAACAAAGTGTTGCATTTGCTAAAATCTGCCCTATTAAAGAGCTTCTCTTCAGTAGTTAATGCACATACAGAGTGACCCTAACAGTCCTATTTCTTTTCTGGAGGTAAGGATAAACACACTGAAGTAGCAGACTAGTAAATAGATCCAAGTCCTGAATAACACAGCGGGTGAAATGGCTTCCTCACTGATAGCTTATCAATACACTTGTCAATATAAGAGCTATCAGGGCCACCTAAAGCCCTTTATATAATAGAATAAAAGACTGCATGAGTGAAAATGTTCTTGGGTGACATTTCAACAAAGCATGCACTCTCTGTTAGCTTGCTCTCTGGTGTTCTCTAAAGTGTCTGCATATACCAGGAAGATCTTTAACAATTTGTTCTCATGAAAATCAAAATCCTACAGCTTACGCATCCATCAAATCACTTTGTTTAAGTAACATGCTTATTTTAGTCAGCTAAGGGAGATTATTTTTTATTCTTTTAGAAGAAGGATGTTAGAGTCGGAGCAGAAAACCAGACATTTAAATTTAAAACATCATAGAACCTGAGTTTAATGTAGTTGCATGTCACTAAATTGATTTGAAAGGCATTTAAAAACTTTTTTTCTTAGTAATTCAATTCAGGAAAAAAAAAAAAAAACATATTAGATAGATTCATTATACAGAGATCTGTTTCTGTAAAGCAGTGCCTCTTTAGCTGCTGTTGCTAAAATCCTTGTACCAGAACAGATGCCACATGGGTAGTTATGTCTCTCAAGGTAGGATGTTCCTGATTCACCATGCATCGCTGCTTCCATGACAAGCTCACTTGTTTCACTGAGTCTGCTTTGCTAATGTTTAAGCAGCACAATAGGCACAAGTTGCAAACTTCTTCCCCTGAGATGTTTCAGACTTTATCTAATTTTAGTCGCACTTCTGTTAATTTGTGCAGAGATATGCATTCAGGTGAGGGTTGCTGCTCAGGCAGCGTGTTATTACTTGAGATCAGACTAGAAACTACTTTGTATCTTTTTGATTGAATTTAATTGGAATCACGTAAAACTATATTGGAAATGTTGTGTTCATCCAGTTCAGTACTTCTTTTCAGCTGTCTCTGAGCAGCATGTAGATTATTTCCCCCAGTCAACTTGCTGGAGGTTGTATTAAAATCTATATGATTGGTTGATAAACATTCATACAGAGGAATAAAATGTTAGTGAAAGACATGTAAAATAATTTGCATGTTCATTGTCTTGCAATATTGTTAAAAAAAAAACAACATATATTACTCTTTTCATTTACTTGAAATTTCACTTTTTTCTTGATTTTATATTGTGGCTTTCAAAACACGATTATCCTATGTGTATCTGACTTGTTATTTGAAAATATTTTGAAATGAGTACCGTAAATATAATTTCCCAAACTGAAATTGAAGACAAGAGCCTTAATCTATAACCACACAATTGCCAATATATAAACATGTGATGTTAATGATTTATAATTTTATAACTCTCTTTCTTTCTAAAAATAAAGATTTTTTCCATAAATACCATCAATTAGTTAAAGGTATAGTGGAGGATTTTTGCAAATTTTTGAAAAGACCCACCCACTCCACTTAAAAAAAAAAAAAAAAAGTAATATGCACATACCTGTAACGGCTCCTGAGAGGGAATGCCCATTAAAAGCATGCAAGAGCATGCACAAGCCCATTTCTGCTTGTGCACGCTCTTTTCATACAAGCTTTCCAGAAGAAGATTTGGAATCTTTCCACAATGTAAGACTCACCACCAGTAAGTGAAATAGGGATGAGCACATAGGATGGCCTAAGGCCAGAATGATTGACAATTAGGAGGACCACTTATTTTGATGATCCACCCAGAAAAAGAACATCCTCCAAAGTACCTTTAACAGTCCACATTTGGACACCAAAGCATTCAAAATCTACAAAGACATTTTAATCTGAGTCTGAAAAAAAAACAACAAGATTTTTCAGACATAGATTATTTGTTAATATTTGCATTCATCTCTACAATTAGCATTTTATCATTTGTATCTTCCTGCTTTCCAATTTCTTGGGAAATATGAAAGCATTTTTTAAACGAAAATAAAGGTCACCCAGGGAATATTGCCTTAAATGTCAATTCCCTTTTGACAGGTTATTTCAATGTTGTTAAAATAAGAGTATATTACATAGATCTCATCCATTAAACGCATTTTATATAGCTAATAGACCTCCCATATTTAAGCACAAGTATTTTTCTTAGTCACAGTTTTTAGTTAGGGAATTATATTGAAAATGTCATTTCAAGATACCGCCAAGACTGAAAAGAAATGTACGGCTGCCTTACATGGAAACTGTTTATTACTTCTTTTGGTAGGTAGTAACAAATTTGCTCTTTGTATTAGCTTTTCCATGGTGCAAATGATTTTAAAAGCAATCTGGACATGTCACCCCCAGGAGAGAGTTATTGATTTGCAATGAACCACCATTGGGATTTAAAGGGAAAAAGGGGCAATTTATCTACAAATGAGAAAACTCAAGCTGAAATCACATTTTTCTAAATAGCTGACCTACTTTCTCTCATGCAAGCCTGCCATGTCTCTCGCTCTTTCTGCCCATTTCCAGGGCTCTGTTTTTAGGCTTCGGCCCAAACGTCTGCTGCCTCCAAATATTTACATATTTTTGAGTTTGTGTTTCTCTGCCAGCTGCCCTCCTCTGAACTAAGATGTTTGAAAGTTGCAGCCCACAGTAGGTCTGTCACAAGCGAGGGTAGCTGTGATGGTAAAACGGACCTTTCATGTGCAATCAGTGCCATCATTTGAGACAGGCTAAAGCCAGGATGTGTTATAATGTATTCCATCTAAGTCACCTGTCCTGTTCTCTTCCATCCAGAATGACACATGGGGACAGCAGTACTCCTACGCACTTTTCAAAGCTATGAGCCACATGCTATGCATTGGGTATGGCATGTACCCCCCAGTGGGGATGACGGACGTCTGGCTGACCATCCTGAGTATGATTGTGGGCGCTACGTGTTACGCCATGTTTGTTGGGCACGCCACTGCACTCATCCAGTCTCTGGACTCTTCTCGGCGCCAGTACCAAGAGAAGGTGAGTCAAATGATACCTTTTCCTTTCTTATGCTCGTAAGAATGAATCCTTTCACCCTTTTTCTATTTATATTTCATATTTTTACACTTTATAGCCAGAATGGAACATTTTGTTTTGTTTGCTGACCTTAAAGTTTTTTGCTACCTGGCAGTATGTCTTGCATTGTAAAATATTCTTCACAATTCTCAACAACTGCTTTGTTTTGATTTGTCATAGACAAAAATTATATATGTTTTTTGTTTTCATTTTCTGCAACTCATGAATGAAATTTGTTTCCTGACTTGGTACTTTGTGATGAGAGTATTTAAATGAAAGATTTTAGAGTTTTCTGCATTTTTTCCACTTAGTAGAAATAAGTGATTTACCCATGTTGCACAGCTAGTAGATTTATCAACAGATTCCACCATCTGACAGGGGATCTCTGCAATTGCTCTAAATACTCTGATTACCCATCCTGACATATTTAGCTGAAAGGTCAAATCTTGGCTTTCAGCTGTAATGTACAGCTTCCATTTTTGGATTTTACCGGAATCAACAGATCACTGGTATGTTTTCTTTAAGCTTCATCACAACTTTGCTTTCTTAATGATTGTGTCCATCTGAAGTCCTTGTGGAACAACTGTATTTAAAATGAATTCCTTGAACAGAGCTGGTATTTGTTTACGAGTTAGATTACTTCTGAGGGTAAGTGGGTATATTGGAATTTATATTTTTTCAGGGGTTTAAAAGTGCAGGTCCATGGAAACAAATGCCGTGTTTTCAGATTTTTATCCATTACAAAAATTTAAAAACGCCATCATGTGCTTCTTTGTCTTGGTCTATCAAGTTCAATCCCAATAAAATACTAAATTTGGATAAGCCCTATAAATATTTTTGCAAAGCGCCAGTTAACTTGTGCAATGGAGTACAGCCTTCAGCTTAATATTGACACTATTGTGGGTAATATTTACTGTAATCACTTAATTAATAGTTGCTTTTTTTGGTTTGTTTATTTCTTTAAATATGATTTTTGACAGTAACTCAAAACAGCTTTATTTTCTATGAAGAAACTCCATCACGTATGAAGGACCAAGGCTTAAATCTATGACCAAAGTGTGCCAGGCTTTTTTTGTCGAGACCTAAAAAAAAAAGGTCCTAGCCAGCTGTGAAAACTCAAACATGTCCCATTGTGACATGCCCTCTGTAGGCCCAACATGGGCGATAATGAGCTGAGCTCTAGGCTGCCTCAATGTCCACTGTCTGAGGCGTGGTGCAGACATGAGAGACTGACCTCTAGAGAACAGTGGCAGAGACTCGAGAAATCTCACCTAAATGAAAGGGGGAATTTAGGAGTGAAAGAGTGCAGGAAGGCAGACAGGCAGATGTAACAAGTGGATGGTGGTACGTCTTTGAATGAAGACCAGATCTGATGACAAAAATGCATACTTCTAACATAATATGTAGTTAAAAAAAGTCTTAAGAACTACAACAAAGGTTCTGAACTTAGGTTTTATACATTTGATAAGAATGGTGCAAAACTAGTAACCAGCTCAATACACTACTCATGCTGGTTGAATGGCTTAGAGATATTTTGCTAATATGCAAACTGAACAGCTGGCCTGTCTCAGCACCAGTCTATGTGCTGCTGAACCCAGTGGCTTCCATTTCTAGCATACAAATCCCTCAGCAGGCTGTAAAAAACATAATCCATGCTCCTTCACAGTGCATCTAAGGAAATATGATTTCTGCATTTCATTTTTTAGATTGTGGACTCTTCTTCATAGGTGCCAGCGATAAAACACACTCTGCTACTTCGTGCTTTTTGCTATCCATGCTCAATTTTTATGCATTTTGGTTTCAAAATGAGAAAAAAAAGAATACTTCACCAGTGGATATTCTTTCAGCTGTGGGATCATCTTCCTACTGAAGTGTTTTCTCTATGTTTCCATCTTAGACTAATTCCACTAACCCACATCCTCAAAGAGTAGACAATCCCTGGAATACTTAGGAGACAGGTGGTAGTTTTTAGAAGTCTACTGTGCAGCCATGTCAGGGACACGTGTTCCTTTTTGCAGTAATTCAGACTGCAGAGGACCCTGCTGAGTGAGGAATCAAACCCAGGTTTCTCGATTTTACAGTATGCACGATTTTAACACAAATATTTTTAACTTGAATTTATTATTAATAAATAAAAAATGTTGGTATTTTATTGGCATTTTGAAAGCATTGAATATATCTTAGTCTTCTTTTATAAACTGCACACAGCGTTCTTATGCTTGCACAAATCTGTCATTATTAATGCCGTTTTTCTTTAATGCTTTTCTCATCTATTTGAATAGAAACACATATAATGAGAAAGGACATGTGAACTAATATATATACTCATTACATGCACACACTTTGCTTGTGAAGTGAGTCTTCTTTCAGTTTATGGGGGTAGATTAGAAATAAAGTAGCTCCTAAATGTGATGTTTTGAGAAACTATGTTTTCAAAAAGACACCTTCTTTACAAATAGAGTCCAAATGTGTGTAATCCAGAGATGGCAAAAGTACGCACTTTCCGTACTTGAGTAAAAGTACAGATACTTGTGTTAAAAAATACTCTGGTAAAAGTGGAAGTACTGATTAAACTTCTTTACTCAAGTAAAAATAACAATGTACAGGCTTGTAAATTTACTCAAAGTATAAAAGTAAAAGTAGAAACCACTTTTTTCATGCCGTTGCCTGCATTTTAAATGGATGTCTGCCAATAGGACTAGATCTCAGTTGTGTTCATTTTTAATCATCTCGTCGTCCATGCTACTATGCTAACGCCACCGCCACCAAGCTGCAATGATTTGCCGTGAATGAATACCGCCGAATCTGTCGATTCATCTTGTAGTGGTGCGTCAAATGCAAGGTAGATTCCCATCCAATTAGATCGAATTTGGTATTGATGACGTGAAAAATAATAGCTGTAACTCCATTGAAATGATTCAAAACTAGAGTAACGAGCCAATTTTTTAAAATGTAAGGAGTAGAAAGTACAGATATTTGTGTAAAAATGTAAGAAGTAGAAGTAAAAAGTCGCCATAAAAATAAGTAGTAAAGTAAAGTAAAAATATCAGAAAAATCTACTTGAGTACAGTAACGAAGTATTTGTACTTCGTTACTTCCCATCTCTGGTGTAATCTCACACAGTTTATAAATATAATGTTGCTGTTCTGGGAAGGCCTCTGAGGTTTGTAGAGAAACATCATCATGGAGATCACTATAATCACTATCACTTTGCTATCACAGTGGCCCCCTGTCTGGTAGCGACAGCGGCGACTAATTACAAAGATGGCGTGACCCACAGAGCAAAAAGCAGTGATCAACCTTCCGAACTGTCAGTTAACTAACTTTGCTGTAAAGTCCACTATATAGTCACTGCTGTATGTGGACAGGGTAAACTTGTATGAGCTATGAGGACAGCAGATTTTAAACAGGGCATGCACGAGGAGAAATGGGCTCATCCATGCTCTTGCACAAGCATTTTTTTAGTAAGTGGAGAGGGCGGGTCTTTTAAAAAACCCTCCACAATACCTTTAATTGTACATTTGGCAAGTATGGTGCTTAAAGGGATAGTTCGGGATTTTTGACATGAATCTGTATGGCATCCCCATCACCAGTGTCATGCAATCACACTGACTTACCCCTGGCAGCATCCTGTGAGCAGAGTTCTTGTCCAGCTTTGGTCAAGCCGAAAGTAGTCCGGCAGGTTTGCTAGACCCAGCGAAATAAAACGTTTCTCTTCCCAAAACATTATGTGTTCAAAAGAGCGATATTTTTGCATCCCAAAAACATTGTAGTGGAAAAAGTCACACGTCGTTATCACTTGGTCCTATTTTCTCTCTGTTCGTATCAGTGCGCGCGACACCATGACCTGACAGCTAGGGCCTACTAACCTGACAACAGCCAGATGCATGTCTCGCTCCGCCTAGCTCCTAGCTAGGCGGAGCGAGACATGCATCTGGCTGTTGTTGAGCTCGCTCTCAGAATGACGGCGCGCACTGATACGAACAGAGAGAAAATAGGACCAAGTGATAACGACGAGTGACTTTTTCCACTACAATGTTTTTGGGATGCAAAAATATCACTCTTTTGAACACATAATGTTTTGGGAAGAGAAACGTTTTATTTCGCTGGGTCTAGCAAACCTGCCGGACTACTTTCGGCTTGACCAAAGCTGGACAAGAACTCTGCTCACAGGATGCTGCCAGGGGTAAGCCAGTGTGATTGTATGACACTAGGGTGGCCAGATGTCCGGCTTTAGGGCGGACAGTCCGGATTTTCATTGCACTGTCCGGCGTCCGGCGCTGCACCCAGCCGGACGTGTATTTGTCCTCCTTTACCCCCAGATTCCACATACTCCGTCAGCGCTCCGCCCCGCTCACGTACGGAGTACTTGTCTGTCATGTAAATCAATGAGAGCTGTTCCACATCCTCCGCTCGTCACCGCCCACGTACGTCTTCTCCGTCCTTCACCGTCAAAATACGGAGCTGAGCTATTTTTTGCTCCCCTCCGGTCCGTCCAGATCAAGACCCGCTATTGCAATCGCACCAAACAGAAAAAAGAATGTAGAGAAGACCCGGTTTGTCAAATTAAATTATAGTAAAAACAGATCGGTATCTAGAAATTAGAGCATAGTTTGTATATATTCCCAAAAACTAAGAGCAATTAATTAAATAATTGGATGCAGACTATTGGTGCTTCAACAGACCAGGAAGAAGTTGTGAGATTCTAGAGTGAATCTCACAACTTTAAAAGAAAATTCTTATTGCAGGAATGGATGAAGAGATGATGAGTTTGGAAGCAGAGAATAAACAGAGTTCATACAAACTATGTATGATCCTAGTTATCCCTGTTACAAAAATCGGCAACAGAAAGAAAATATTTGGGCAGAAACTGAACATCTGCTGGATGATGATGGGGATTTTTTTAATATGTCAGATTCAATTAAGCTTTCACAGGTTTTATACAGGAATGAGGAGCTCTAATT